TGTCGCAGCATGTGAACAACATTGGTGGCCTGATAAGTGCTCCGCCACTTCAATGGATAAATACTTGCCTTTCTGGAGCTGCAGCATTTGGCATGCCAATGCCTGTGTGTACGAGGTTGAATGGTACAGTTGCGTAGCCAGATCCTGTGCAAAACAAACTTGATGCTAACCAAGTGATGCTTACATGCATTTAATGCTGAACGTATACAACCAAGTCCTGCTTTCCCCGGTTGGAGATGTATTGCGTGGTTGCCGTGTAAGTTGATGAAAAGCATCCTGCATGATTAAAACCGGTGAGCAATACTTACAACAACATCGTATGTCAACAAAGTAAGCGCTCAGTCTACATGGTACACAGTATGCAATCTGCACCCTAAGCACCCTACTCGAGCAACCCATGGTCTGCAAGACAAACTTTCCGCGGTGGAGCTCCACATTGCCTTGAGACTTTGGCTTTCGCGGAGGAACCTGGGCCAATTGGGCGTGTTGTTTCACCAAGGTGTAAGGCCAACAAGGTCAAACAACATAGTTACAGTGCTTGTTGTGTTGTTGCACTGCTGTAACGTTTTGTGAGTGCTTCAACATGCGTTGTGCTGTTACAGTAGTTGTTGCAGTGCTGTAACGTGTTGGGTCCTGCAAGTTAACTGCTGCAAACGAGTTCCAACTACAAGCAATGCATGACAAGTCACAACTTCCAGCTGGAGCTTGGCTCGCGCAACCTGTGGAAATCCAAGCGGCTTCCATCGAGAGCACTGTCCCTGAACAAAGCGGCCAAATTGAGGGTATCGGGTTGCATCCTCCTTTAGGATTGATCCCTTGTTCACCTTTGTCGATCCCTTCGTGGCAGGTCTCTTCATCGAATTGGTCACTTGCTCCACTTCTGGTCTTAGCGTGCGCAAGAGTGTGGACACAACAGTTGTGAACAACATCACATCACAAGGAAGTTTGCTTGTTTCACACCCACACACACACCAAGTAAGACACAGACTCAGCTGATGCACACAAAGGCACAAAGGACATGTGTAGTGGAGACAAGCTGACCCGAAATGGCTTTGAGGCGCTTTGAGGCTCGATATTCAGCAAACAACAACCATCAACAACCTAGCAAGTTAGTTCGGTATGCAAAGATTTTGTGGAACCCTGGTTGTAAACTGGAACCCCGGTTACTAAGCAAAAAAAATTTCCCAAAAAGCAGGTTTTTCCTTCAGCCGCTTTCCACTAGCGCTTGCTGCTAAGTCCTTATAAGTGTGTGTTATGAGTTACGTGCACAAGCATCTTTGCAGACCGCTGGTCCTGAAATGGGTTCCCCAACTGCAGACATACACAACCCCTGACACCCCTTCCACCCCTTCCGGCGCCCTCCCCGCACCCGACAGTCGCTCCAGGTACCGAGGCCCGGTTTCATCGACGGACCTCTTTGACGCGCGCGGCCAGACAGGCTGCTTGATCACGGCAGACGGGCTACGCTTGAAATTGCGGCGGGGAGTCTTTGTGCCGCGCGGCGAGAGCCGGCACAGCATCCGGGCGGCGGTCAGAGGCTTGGCGAGAGGGAGGAGAGGAGGTTCTGAGGTGAGTTGTTTCCATAGCCGGGGGAGCCGGTTTCAGAACCACAGCAGGAAAGCAACTTACAGACTTGCATATCTATACCCAGAATGTTACCATGTCAAATTATTTGTGAGGATCGGAGGTGCGGGGGGCGGGGGGATGTCAACAAAATCATCAGAAGCCGGCATGAACTGTGGAAAGGCCCACCCTTCAGATGTGCAAAAAGCAAGGCCCATTGATGTGTGCAAGACCGACGACCAGAGCTACCTCTGGTCGTCGCAGCCTAGGAGTGTTGGATGAGCTTGCATCTCCTGACCTGCGACTGCTTGATGTTACGCTGGGAGTGGGCAACGTCGTGCTACCGCTGTTGAAGAGGTGGGGGGGCTTGAGCCAACGAATGACAGGCCTAACTGACTTACAGGCCACCCATGAAGACCCTGTCCACAGGCCTTTCCCAAAGCCAACTTGTTTTCAGTCGGGCACAGCGACATGGTCGCAACATGTCGCGACCTGGTTCTTTGAGTTCTTTCGAGCACAGCTTGGGGTTCCATGTCGCAATCCATGTTGCGACGGTTCACCATGTCTATATATCACTCGAGGGCTCAGCAGAGCTTGTGGGTCCAGTGCTGTGGTTTGGTACGTAGTTCTGGTCATAGCTCAAATCTCCTCAAATCATCTCAAAAATGATCAGCACGGCGCCGCATCCCTCGGCTCTTCACGACTGAACGCCCCAAAGAGCGGTGCGAAGCGGTGCGATTCGCGGGATCGAAACGCAGCCTCTTCTCGGGTCGTTGGCCCTATTTGGTCGAAGACTCTCCTAAAGTTTCCAGCAACCTGGTGCTACTTGTAGACCCGACATGCAGCTGACTCTGGCACAGAACACCAAAGGGTTTCACAACAAGATCCTGGTGGCCATGTCTCACCATCGTCGCGGGGGTCTGAACCCATCGTTGTGATTTCACCCACCCAAAAAACGCGTGGCCGTTTCTGGGTGACGAACGTTTTTCCCAGGTATCCTCATGCTCGTGCCTGGGGGATGGACATCAACCCCACTGCCGTCGCCTTGGCCCGCGAGAATGCTGACGGCAACGGGCTCGGGCAACAGGTTGGCGCCTTCGACGCTGGGGCTGTGGGAAGGGCGGGGTTCTGCGGTTGGTGAGAACTTCAAGACACAAAAAGAATACAAAAAGCGGCATGGGTTGCCAGAAGCTCAAAGACCAAGTATGTTCAACTATGCCGCATGCCCATATGTTCAGTTAACAGGACTGAAGGAGTTGTAAAAACACATTCTCCAGGCTCTATAGTGGGTCTTTGGACCTGTAGGGTGTCTATTTCACTGCCAACAATGCTTCTCATATCTTCTCATGGCGAATCGTTTGTTGATTGCGAACCCTTTGGACGTCTTGTTGCTGGTCTAATGCAGGCCCAGACTCGGGGTGAGAATGAAGACTTGATCGTTGCACTTTCATGCAGATCTAAGAACCAACGGTGTGTAGGTCAGCCCCCGGTCAATGCCGCGCTGGGCGCGGCCGGGTTTTCTGAACGATCGAACGTCCATGTCCACCCAACAGTTTTGATTATATATTCTTTTTTCCCGCGTGTCTACCAACACTTCTGGTTGGTGCTTGCAAAAACATTTTTATGTTCAACCTTTACTTGGGATTGATCTGACTGACGCATGTTTCGAAGGAGTTGAACTCGACACCAATCAGACGTTGTTGTCCACACACATTCTGTGGAGCACAGAAACCTCTGACTGCGGGACTTCGGCTGGTCCAGATCCTTCTCTCGACACGACGAAGCCTCAGTCTGCCAGAATTGTGTACCAAGGAGCAGCAGGACTTGAAGGACTTCAAGCCGATGCAAGGGCAGACGTCCAGCTTTCACTTGATCCTTGCAAACCCTCCATACTCTGCAGAGAAGGCAGAGCGCTTGAAGAATTACCAGGAGCAGTCTGAAAGTGGGAAGCCCCTTGGATCGCAGCCTTCACGAAGCTACACACCTGGCATTTTGCAGAATGATTCGGCGCGTGTGTTCTGGCGCACATGTTATATAGAACAATCTGCCAGACTTGATGCCAGAACAGATGGCGGAATCGATGTCAGAATTGCTTGTTTGCTGCCGGATTTGTGGACGCGGAACTCTGATATTTTTTCGGGATTTGCTTGGAAGGCTCGAGAGCCAGAGACGAGCAATTGGCCAACATGGTCGTTTTGGTTAAAATTATCCAACTCAGTCCAACCCTTTCACTGTTGTGTCTGGTCTGCCTTCTCGGAAGCGCCGAGATGTGTGTGCTTTGGTTTTTGCTGTCTTCGGCAGTAATAATATAGACTATTTCATACTATTTCTGAAGCAGAAATGGTGAGTGATGCCGCTGAAGCATTGGACGTAGCACAAATGAACGTCGTCTTTTCGGGCAACAGATCTTGCTTTCAAATTTCAAACAAACTATCGAGAAGTATGTCGAAAGGGAGCCCAAAGTTGGCTTTGGACCTGCATTCTGGTTAAACCAGTCTATCGCATTCTATCACCATCAAACGCATATGAAAAGGATCAACTCGGGTCTATCACTGTCTGTGCATCTCCCTCACCACAAGCCTGCCGAGGTCAGGGTCACTCCTTCTTTCGGTGGCCCACTTGGCCCAAGCTGCTTTGGCCCCAGAGGGAAGGCTGGTCTTGCAAGTTCCTCAAGAGGAGACAGGGTGCCTGGCCAGCAAGGTGTTGGGCTGATGTTGGATGCGGGTCTGGGCAAACCAGTTTAGTCTTGGTAAGGGATGTCTGGTTGTGTGACTGCAAGATAGTGCCACTAGGGCTTGCCGATCTGAGTGTCGGGAAGAGCATATATACACACCATTATGCACCACTTAGCTGTAGCTACCAATCTGAGAAGCTGGACAGAAGACAGCCCACCGGTCCAACAGAAAGGGGTTTTAACAGTTGGTTGGTGCGGTTGGTGCCTGCCTCTTCTGGCTCGCCTAAACCGTGGTGCTGGTCACGTACCAGTGGACCAGTGGACCAGTATCGTCCGGACAGGTCCCCTAGCCCTTTTAGAGTTCCTTGATCCACCCTTTTAGAGTCAGAAGGACAAACCAATCGCCCTGTGAGCATGCGTGCCTGGGCGGCACGCCTCGTTCCCACCAGCTGCGAGCTGCCGCACGGCCCAGACCGAGGTTCATTGCACGCGTGCTGTGCGCAGATGGACACTTGGTCGTCGAAGACGAGACTCGTAACACCTTGACTCTTGCTGTCGCAAAAGAAAGCGTGGAGAGTACGAGACGCAAAAGAACGGTGCCACATGGATGTCTTCAGGTTCCTTCGCATCAATGGATGTGGTCAAAAGATGTCGAAAGACCCTTTCTTCGACATTCCAAGCATAAATGAGGCTAGCAGTGAGATGTCTAAAGATCGTTCCCAGACACTCCTTTCACCAGAAGCCATTTAACTACCTAGATCAGAGTAGGATTAGATCAGAGCAGGGTCGCATGAAATTTTATGTTTTTTCCCGAAAGCATTGCGAAGGGTTCTTCCCTTTGAACACTTACACTTCGACACTTACACTTACACACACACACACACTGGACGAGCGAAAGCATCCAAGTGCGAAGTATGCCAGTGTCAAAGTATGCAAGTGTAAGTATGCAAGCATGATATGCAAGGGTGAGTATGCAAGCACGCAATGAGTATACAAGCATGCAATGAGTAGGCAAGTGTGAGTATGGAAAACTAGCACGGGAGATGTCCTAATGAAAAAAACATTTCCCCACTTTATAAATTCTCTCTTAAAGGCGGAGTGCGGGACGAACAGCGTCAACCGAAAGTGCAACCCTCTGCGGAGATCGTGCGTGTCGAGTGCGCGAAATGCAGGCGAGAGTGCGATTTGTCCGGTGCGCGCGCAACCCTCTGCGGAGATCGTGCGTGTCGAATGCGCGAAATGCAGGCGAGAGTGCGATTTGTCCGGTGTGCGCGCAACCCTCTGCGGAGATCGTGCGTGTCGAGTGCGCGAAATGC